TGAGGACCTCGAGTAAACGGAAACTTTCCAGGAATTTCATCCGGAAAATTTTCTGTATCTGCTCTCGTGTAAACTGGCTTCACATCGATATTCTAGATTCCCGAAAACGAAATATAAGTATCTGATGGAAAAAATAATGTCAAAATGATAATAACCTCAGCAGTATGCCAGGTCAACGTTTTTTCTGGATCTTTTCCCTTCAATTCTTTAGTGACAATTTTTACCCATTCTTCGTTTAGAGGAACCTTCGCTCGAGAAGTGGAAGCGTAAGCCTGAAATTAAATAATTAAGAGTATAGAGTAAGTTCGAAAACAAAAATGTATGTTCTATCATCAACACAAAGCTACCCTTTGATTGATCTTTGCAAAAGCATATTTAACATTCCCGAGAGTCATGAAGCGTTGTATTTTATACATTTTTTTTTTTTTTAGAAAAGATTTTGAAAAAACGTTTGGGTTTTTTATAATTTTATACCGTATTTTTATACACGCTAATCAGGTCATAACCGTTTTTTGATCAATTTCAAAATCGAACCATTTCCAAAAATGGATGATTACTTGTTTGATACGAGTATACAGTCATCTAATTATTAATGCAAAACATACTGATTCTTCAAATTCTCACATTGTAAAATAAATCTTTTCGTTCGACTTGGGGAAATATATGATTTAAAAAGTTGGTAGTACACATCGAACTAGGCATAAATACTTAAATACAGACAACTAGAATAACCCTCCCCTAAACGAACTTTACCATTTACTGTAGAGTCAATTTTTTTCTTGATATTCCGCTTCTAAATTTATTAAATATTTTAAATATTCTAATTATATGATCACAAGTGTAATTGTTTACTAATCTGCTGTAATCATCGCCTCTACATCGATCAGGTACCTTGCTAATTTCTTAAATCAGGAATATTTCATATAAATAAATCACTAAAAATTTTAAAACAATCTGATTTAAAACATTGTATATACTGTAAGTGTTGTTATTAACATTTATCATTAAGCTAAAATTTATTGTTTTATTTAATTTTCCATAAAACCTACAAGACAATAAATGATAAAAATTATTACTCTAACTAAAAAATTTTTAATTACAATTATAAAGTAAAAAAAAATTTGTTAAATACATTGATTTTTAAATATTTATTTTTCACTGATAAAAAAAATTTTTTTAGAATAAATCGTTTTTAATGTAAATAACCTTGTTGTTGTGATTAAATATAAGATATATTATATTAAGATATTATTATTATAAATAAAAATTGCTTTATTTATTTTATTGTTATTATTTTTTTTTAAATATATCTTAATGTATTAAGCATGAAATTAATGCCATTATATTTAAATAAAGTTAATACAATATATATAAAAAATTAAATTTTTAAAAATAGTTTTTTTTTACTCAAAAGTAAAATATGATTTTTAATAAATTTAATAATATTTCAATTTATATTTTGCTATATATAAGTTAATTTTAAACAAAGATTAAAGCTATATAAAAAATTATATTCTTGATTAAATTTATTAAAATAAATTTATTTTGGTAATAATAATTATATATATATATATTTTTTTGAAGGAACAGGTGGTCCCTATACATTATTTTTATTTATAATTTTAGACTTGCGAATTACTAGATTTATAACTCAGTAGTGTAATATACATCTCTCTTTGCTAGAAAAAGTTAAATGCCAGGCTCAATAAAGGCCCTTCCGTCTAAGCTCCTTGGCACCACTCAAGAATATAAGAAAAAGAAATTCAAAACCTATATTATGCCTTGAATGGTATCTAGCTACCTAGAAAAATTTGAAACCTAATCACATGAAGGCGCTGCAGCCACTATATACAGGTTGGCCTCCAAGACATGACTAGGATTGGCAAGCTTGCTTTCCAAATATGGCTTGATGTATAGCAAGCCGGGATGTGTTCCACCTTATACTTCCTTTGGATAACTGCTCAACTAATTAAATGGCTGCTACATTGATGCAGACATCTCGTGGAGATTAGCTTTTCATCTGACCACCTAGTATTTGACCTTCTCTACCCTTCTAGGATTGCGACAGATTACAGGTTGATCAGGCCTGTGGCAGTTGCCTACATCTGCGGCAAGTAGGGAAGGGGATAGTCACTCTTTATAAGAAGCTTTGTACACATAGCTGCACCATTTAAGTATTTGAGTAGAATCCAGCACCAGTATAAAATGGGGAAAGGTGAGGGAAAGTGTTTGGACGTGTAGTAGTGGTTGTTGAAGGAAGTTTGTCGGACATAATGGATTTGGAGTTTCTTATAGATGTTGTTACCTAACCTTGTACAATGAGCCTATATTGTCGGAGGGGTGAGCGAGGAACTTTCGTTGTCGTTACCAGCTCGTGTTGTGAGGGTAGCTAGAACCCCTGGTTTTCACGTATTATCCTACTAGGTTCTTCAATCACCAGCATGACACCTGCAACTAATCTAGCTCATTGTTAGCTGCATTGGCATTGGCTGCCATATCTTTCTGAATACAGTGGGGTGCAACTCCTTGGATACTTTCAGATAATAATAGTTGTACACCGGTTTCTTAGATGTATCTAGTTTA